ACACAGAATGTGGAGTCTTTTTTTTTTTTTAATTTTATATTTATTTTTTTAACGACACCCAACGAACAAGTAAAGTAGTAAAATGCTATTAATTTGAAAACCCAAAACATAATTCTCGCACAAACCCATTCGCAACCTCCATTGTGTGGACTGGAACGCATTTAATGAAGTTATCGGAATACGTCATTCCTAACTCACAACCCTACTGTGGCTACAAATAAGTTTATTAACAATATTGATCTTGTTGTGGATCTACTAACACCTACTGTAAGGAGAAATACCCATGAACATAGGGCTGAACTCAAGCTTCTGTCCAAAGCCAAAATCAAACTAAAGAAACTCAAATCGCTATACAGCAGCAACAACAACTTCGCAACATTGCTACAAATACACGAGAACTTACTATATTTACAACATCTAACCCTAACGGTCAAAATCAAAGAAGAAAGCCGGGTATTCAGAAATCCTGAGAAAGTACGTGCATTGATGCAACTACTCAAAAGAAGGAACCCTAAACCACTACAAGAAATTGAAACGTTGGCTCTAGACAATGGTTCAATAACACGCGACATCTCCTGTATATGCGAGGCCATGAACTCTAGTTTTGCCTCCTCATTTGTCCCTAACATTCAGCCACTTCATCCTCCACTTCCAAAAAGAACGACCAAACTATACTGCAATATCCCTGTGACGTTAAGAGAGGTGCAAAGTGCCATCGCGGTCATAAAACCAGCAACTCATCCAGATCCAGATGGCATCTCACTAACTGTTATAAAACTCGGAGGAAAAAACCTCGTACTATTGTTACTAAACATTTTCACCCTTTCACTCACTACCGGATGCTTTCCAGCTCAATGGAAGCAATCCATTATAATGCCTAAGCACAAGGGTGGACCGAGAAATCAAATGTCAAGCTACCGCCCAATAAATCACACCTCTGCTGTTTCCAAAGCCCTAGAGCGAATAGTCAAGAAGAACATCGTCCAATATCTTACAAGACTGGATCTTATCAACCCTTCACAGCACGGCTTTCTCTCAAAACGCACCTGCGTTACGTGCCAGCTACAATTTCTCGATCACATCACGACTATGATCGACAGAGGAATGGCAATTATTATAATTCTGTTGGACATGCAAAAGGCGTTCGACCGCGTGCCACACCAGCCACTGCTGTCTGCTCTAGAGTCATATGGAATTGGAAATCCGCTGCTTAACTGGTTCGACTCATACCTAAACGGTCGAACTCAGGTAGTTAAAATCGGTCAGCAACATTCTACACCGAAGCAAATAACCAGCGGTGTCTTCCAGGGAATTGTGCTCAGACCGCTACTTTTCTTAATCTACGTAAACAATATATGTGACCCGATCAAACATGGACATCCATTTCTGTTTGCAGATGATGTCAAACTGGTCTATTCTTTTCATCCAGACCAACTACATATGTGTTTGGGAAACATCTGGGAAGACCTATCCGCACTAAATATAGCTAGTGAGCGCTTATTAATGAAGTTCTCCGCAGTGAAATCCCAAGTACTTGGGTACAGATGCCGCATCCCAGAAGGCTCCATTATACTTGCCGGAAACGTGATCCCAACGTCTGATTCAGTTCGGGGCTTAGGAATTAGGTACTCCAACTGCTTCAATTTCTCCGAACATGTTCTTTATCAGGTTGCAAAAGCAAGGCGGCTATGTGGATATATCACCAGAACTTTCTCCCTACCTGAAGTACGGCTTGAATCATTCAAGACAATCGTACGACCGACTCTGGAATATTGTACTATCCTTCACAGCCAATTGAGAAAGAAAGACAGAACGGCTCTAGAAAATGTCCAACGATCATTTACCAAACTGCTCATGGGAAGCTGCTCAAACCTGACATATTATGATCGCTGTCGAAGACTCCAGCTGGATCCACTTTCGCTGAGACGCTTAAAGAACAACCTCGTTCTCTTCTACAACATTATAAACCAACGAATTTACGCAGACAGCACCGCACTTGAACTACGGAAGACTGCAGTCTACCCCACGCGTAATGGTGGCTACTTGATACGTACAAACCTTTCAAGTTATAAAATTCGGTCGAATTTCTTCTTAGTGAGATACACTTATTTGTGGAACAAACTACCCCTACAGATACGCATGTGTACAAGCCATGTCACTTTTCGAAATCTCCTTCAGACTTTCCTCACTATACCAAATGCTCTGAAGATATTTGACTCACAGCAAACACTAGAAACATTGACAGAAGTTGGTATAAAAAAATATGATAATAGCTTACAGCTTGCTTACCCACTACATGTCATTACATACCATACCAAATCCTGTGTCTCTGCAGCCTAATGGTCCCTTCCTTTATTATCTACTCCTGACGGTGCAAACATCTGTAAATTTTACAAATGAGTTGCGCGGGTCTAGGACTCAAGGAAAAGTAATCATTATCCGAAATGCTATCAGTAAACTTTTATTTAATGTTATGAAACGTGTTCACTATACAAATGATCGCTCCCACTTATGGGGTCGTGTACCGTCCGTCGGTAAATATACAAATTTATTTATTTATTTATTTTATTTATCCCTGAGGAACGCCACTTGTGGTCGGAAAGCTATCCGATAAGTCTCTGCAGACCCTGAAGCTGTCTGTAGTGTTCGAGTATAGAGCAGTAAAATGTTCACATATTTCCAGGGTACAGTTTCCGAGCAAGCATTTCAAACAGAATGGATTAATCGACTGGATTGAACGCACTCTTGAAATCGAGGAACATAGCTATTGTCGGTCTGCAGTATGCGTGGCGCTGCTCTAGCACCTGCCTCAGAGTGAATATATGGTCTATACAGTAACATCCTGGGCGGAAACCTGCCTGCCGTTCCATAATCCGACATTCTCGTTCCACAGTAAGGCTACGAAGGAGAACCGAGGTTAGTACTTTTGTCCCAATTGACGTTAGGCTAATGCCTTGTGATTAGAACAGTCTGTGCGACTGACCTTCTTGTGTATTGCCACTATAATCGATTCGCTCCAATTGGCCGGAACACTCTCTTCCTTCCAGATAGATTCGAATAGGGAGGTCAACACTTTGCAGAGGACCTCACATCCATCCTTAACTAGTACAGGTGGGAAGGAATCCGAGGCAGCGGCACGAAAACGATTAAGGGTTGTGATCGCGTTTCGGACCTCGGCATCCGACGAAGGCTCTAAACTAACTGGCCATGGCTCGTCCTGCATCATCTGAGTAAGAAGAGGTCCGGGAGCAGGGGACCAAGTGAACTGGTTTTAACCGGACAGCGGTCTGTGCCGGCTATCGTCTCTCCGCACGAAAGAGGTGTTTTCGGATCCACCGCTTCAGCGAAGGCCACTGTGAGTACCACAGACCGTGTACCATTTTAAGTCCTACGCATCCCTATAGCGGATGGAGCAGGTTAGGATGAATCAGAACACATTGAAACGCAGAAGAAGAAATTTCGTTCGAAAGTTGTTCGCGAGCATAGAAGAGCCCCAAATACCCTGTCCTATGATAAGGTTGTCCCGCCCAATGATTCCCTGGCTATCATTCCCACTATCCGTTGCCCAACCGTTGTCTTTGTACCAAGCCAAATTGTGTGCTCTGTCTCAGTTCAATTCCATGTTCACATGCACTTTGATATTTTAGCATATCACACTTGATCAAGCACACGTTGACCCAGTTTAAACGTCTGAGCGAATTCATTATTTCTCCACGCGAGATGTGCTATCAGTGCCTCAGGAGGTCTCAATTACCACTTTGGCTATCTGGGCGCTGATATGTAAGCTAGGTTGTTAGATTGACGGCTCACATTACCTCGTATCGTAGTAGTACCCTCACAAGATTGTCGTGATTATGTGGGTGGAGGTCACATACATGGAAACTAGTTTGTTCGCGCAAACTTGTTTTATTCCGCTCTAGGTACGATTGAAACACTTGCAATGCCATCACTGTGTGTGTAATCCAGTGCGTGTATGCCCACGGCTCCGCCTAGCCTTCCCTCTGAGTACTCAGTCACACGAATCCAGTGTCCTGTATAAACCACAGTAAATTAAGACGACAGTCTGTTCTAATTGTGACTTGAAGCTATATTTGTTGGCTATATTTGTTTGAGTTGAAGTCGTTGGTATGCTTTGTATGGAAACATAAACGGTTGAGTTAATATACATTTGTTGATTCTAATTGTCCTCATATAAGACAGTGCTCAAGTGCCGGTTGTTTCCATTGATACCAATGAAAACCAGTTTGCTCAAGGCTTCCAAGCGGTTTGACACTTACACACGGTCTCTAAGAACACGAGAAGCCGTCCTCTGGTATCAAAGGTGGGTTGCACTAGCCTGACCACATAATAAAGTATAGAAATCGAAACCAGCGAAATTTCATCTAGCCTTACCATATGATTATAGCAATTGCAAGTTAGTTGGAAATTTACTAACAGTGACACTAAAAAGGAGATAGTGCTTAAGTAGACAACCCGAGTGTGATCGACCCGTTAACATGTTGTCTGCCCATCTAGACATGTACATGAGTAGTGCCTGAACACACACCAGTCGATAGGAGGCCAAATTCAATGATAGACATTGTGAAAACAGCATTCTCAAAGCACACGGTGAAAGTCGTATATCAGTACTCGTGATAAGCCAATGAATGCGTTTCGCCGTGTCAGCCTGAGAAATCTCGACTGCAATCTTGAGCAAAATTACTCAGGTATTGAAGATCGGCTATTGTAAGATCCGGTTGGATGGGTGAGTGAAATTCACACTCGTCTCTTGAACCAGAGGAGTCCGCTTTATCAAATGAGGAGAGAGACTCAGAAGAACATCGACGGATAGCAAAATCTTTTCCCATTTTTAGCCAATGCTGATTCAAGGCGCTCTCGGTGGCGACGAATATCGGGTTGCGGACAGGATGGGGACACTGTGTTACAGCAGGATGATACTGGAGTATTCCTTTCTGGGAATGTGAAGGTTGTTTGGCCGCCACAAAGTCGTTCAAAGCCGAATGTGTGACAATTTGTCGAAGTTGATTCCGATGTCCACTTGCTTCAAAAGGGGTGCCAAGTTTGAGTGAGCAAGGCAGAGGAGGTAAATTCAGCAAATCCATCACAATATCAGGTGAAAGATCTCGATGGCGCTTACGCACGCAAACCGCTCCATTCGCATTTAAATCGATACGGTTAGATGCGATGCTTGGAAATCGACCATTGTGTAAACCATTGCAACAAGTCATTCTGTTGCGGTGAGTATTGCTCAAGTGGTTGTTAGGTAAAAAGGTATATTCTGTTCTGAAAGCAGGCATACCGGGTAGAATGGGTTTTGAGCGTAAGGTTATTGCACGACCTCGTCGAAGTCGCATTACCGCTTTATCAAATGACATTTCCTCTCTGGTGCGAAATTTTGGGGTTAGAATAGATCCCGTCGATCTGGGCCGATCCTTGGCAAGCGAAACAGTGGAAGCGTTAACACGAATGCCATGGTTGGGGTTTGATGTAATCTTCAGTGACCGAGGACCTGCTACCATAGTGCCGCAAAATAATTCACCAACTAACGTGAGGTATCAGAGCTAGTAAAATGAAAGTACTAAATATTTATCGATCTTCCGCATCAGCACCTATCACTAGTGTAGCATACGTCAAGGTCGTTATAAAAGTTCATTCTAAAAAGTTGGAATAGTGCACACGAGAAAGTGCTCATACTTAGACAACCGTTGGGGCCAGAGGTAGAGTTGCGCCTCAGAGTAAATTTTGATCATAACGGAAAAGGATTAGAGAAACTGATGGGGGCAAACGAATAAATTCAGAACGGTATTTTAATAAAAGTTTCACGGGCCAAGAGAAAAAAGGGGATAACAAGTAAGCATTGAGCAGTCAATGGATTATGTGAAGTTGTACCAAGAAAATTCCCCAATCGATCATTTGTGAGTTAAACCGCAATGGATCAAAGGGTACGATAGAGAACAGTGAGAAGTAATGAAAGGAATATTGTAATAAAATACCAATCGAAAAGATATGAACAGTAGAATGCTACAATCATTGGATGGAACAGTTAAGTTAGAATCAACTGACGGAAGAGGAATGCCACTGTTTGGGTGCGTCTTCACGGTTGTGGTTGAGTCCAGAGTCGTGTGCCTTATCATGGTACTCGTTTCACTTCGTTTGTTGGTGTCATCATAGCCGTTGAGTACCCTAGATCTTCGTCAATTCTGAATAGGGAGCAAATCATGCTCCAGGCCGAAGACCTAATGAGCACTCAAAATCCAGCAATGAAATCCAAGTGCTGGTGTCAAGCGTTACTCGAGAAGCACAATGGCCTAGTGACCAAGCCGTTGGCAAATTTACGCCGAGTTCAGTTCCCAGTTGTAGTTATCTATCTAAAAGGCTCAAATAAGAATGAACCGCTCATGGGATGCAACATTTGGAGTGAGCCCCATTGGAAACTCTGCTTCGGATTTCTTCCTAATGATTGGAGTAACAGTAGTGTACTTCCCAGTAAATGGGGATACACATTCCCCAAATTTTGTTGCAGTTCAAGCACACAGGGCGTGTGTCTTCCGAAATCCAGCAAAATCTTCAACCCGCCGTCAGCGTGGCAGCGAGGTCGTAACAAGAGCATTGAGCACTTGCCACATGCACATACCCACTGTTACCTTTCAAGTCGATGCAAGCGAGTATATGTTTTCAGTAATTCACCAAAAGGCTTGTACAATTAGATGTGGTAAAAAAACTGGTGGACATAAGGTTGTGATTGGTAAATCACGGTCAGTACATAGTCATTGGTGAAGTCACAACTGGTTAAGTCACAACCGCAGTGTGCACACAACTCCGTGGGCAAAGGATCACGTTTCGAGTGGACCAAAGCAGTCTCAACATTTGAGTGAACCGTTTCTGAACTCACAATTGCGGCTCGTACAGACGAATCGCGATGACCTCTGCAGATTCAAGTAAAAGTCTACGTTCATCGATTGTCCCGTGCCTGATAAATCACTTTGAATGACTCAGCTATCTTAATTGCATGGGCAGTGTCAACGAGATGCGTGGCTGTGGCTGAGCTGATTGGTTTTCGACGATCAGTCATAAGCCAGGTCGGATGGTGTTCCCTAACCCAGTCAGGCAGGCACCTCATCGTTCGACCAACGTAACCTGTCCCACAAGAACAGGAGAAGGATTAACTGCACATAGGTTTGTTGTGGGCGGGCTTCTAATGTTAACACTGCCTTGGCTTACTCGAAACATAACACCTGGCCCACGGGATTGTGTACATACTGCGATTGTGACCTAACGAACAGCGATTGTGCTTGATCCGTGATTGTGAACTGAACGTAGTTTACCAACCACAAGGATGTGTCTACCAGTTTTTTCTCTACATATAATTGTACAAACTTGATGAAGAATTATTGAAATCATGTGTTCGCTTGCATCTGCTTTTAATCAACAATGGGATCTTTTTATGACTATTACGTTTCACTTACTCATGGCAACCGGATCCAAAGTGGAGCTATGTTCGAGGCGGCTGAACCCATCTGCTCCGTACGTGTTGCCGTCAAGCCACTGTCTGCACTAGCCAGTGTGACGACAGGAAGCGTTATGGCATAGCGGTGGCTGCGCAGTACTTTCCATGACACTTTGACGACGTCGATGGAAGGAGTGCAACTGCGGCAGCTAGTTCTAACAAACCAACACCGCACATACTTGCGACAAAACTATGCGAGTCACATTACACATTGCCACTTTGCGGCTCCCACTAATTAATTATACCTTCTAAATACCTTGAGTATACGCATGCGCATTGTGTGGTAAAGGAAAGCGGGAACAGCATACTGATACACAGTTGCTGTGTGCTTCGTTCTCCACAGCTGCATAACAACATACACCTCTGAGGGTCCGTTACCGGTTTCGCTTCACCTTCATCCCTACTGAAAACTTCTTCATCACAGGTTACCCAGCGCGATGGAGGTGCTTTTTAGAGTGAGCAGATGAATCTAAGGAGCAAGGCAGAGAGCCGATGTCTACCGAATCTGACGCATTCGATCACTGGAAGCAAGGAGAGTAGGCTTCCTGTTACATTGCTGGTTGGACGGAATTTGTGTGTGTTACGGTGCGTCCCCGTTCTTTCTTAAACTGAATTAAAGGAAAGACGAAATTTTGGGGAAGTGCGCGAACAACCTAAATGCATGCGCGCCGATGGTTAAAGAAACTGTAGTTTGCACTGAGTTATCCTTTATGAATATACCACCCGGCACCAGCCTACTTCATTTCGTAATCTAAGCTATTGCTTGACCGTATTCATTTATCAAATCAAGTGGTTAGATCACAGTGGGTTCTTCTGTGTTACACTCTGAGCCACATCAAGCAACAAACGACACCAGTGCTTACCTCACACGTCCTTGGCACAGCAATCTATTCTTTCTTGAGAACACGCGTGCAATGCACTAGCTTTCAAACGAGTATTAACTTGTACGGTTCTGATTCTGGTGACAGTGGATGGAATCTTCGCGTCTCCGGTGCGTAATCCAGCTGGCGGTTTTATACTTAATATAAGTTATGTGGTAAGTTTGTTCGATTGGATCTAGTGGCCTAGCAAATGGGGGGAACGGATCGCCCCGAGCAGCATTTGACCGGGGGCCGCATTTTTAGTACCGTCGATTGTTCGATACTAAGCACAAAGGATAAAATTTCCAGCTGGGCTGTGGGTCGGATATTATAACATTATTCTGTATGACTAACAACATCTTTATGCCATGTAGCACACCTGTAGGAACATCATTTCCAGCGATCCCTCTTCTTCTCCAATTGTGGTCACTTTCAGCACATTTACTTCAGCGTCACAAACCATCATCTATTTTATCAAAACCAGTGCGCACTTTACCTTGAGCCGACTGTGTGGACTTTACACGCTTATGCTGCCCTCAGTCGGGCGAAAATTTTACCACTACCACAAAAGTAGATACTACGCCTCTGACTGGATCCTAGTAGGCATGCAGTCATTGTCGGTTGTATGCCACGTCTTAATTCGTGAAAACGGCAAGCGTCGGAAATGGGGGCTTTACACAACCACAAATATTACAGGCCAGGGGTGGTCACATAGGAATATAATCAGCAACCGTCAATTGTGCGATTAGAAATACGAATATTATGAGCGCTGTGACCTACACGCATGTGCCAATGTAAGGGTTCTCGGTCCCCGATCAATACCTGTAAGGCCATTTCGGGATCAATGCTTCTAGAACCGATAATGAGAAATCGCTTTCAGGTCTTATGCAGACGGCAACGTATATGGCAATACGGCACAAGTGTTTATGTCGTAGAATTTGGTACCCTCCAAACCGGACTGCTTGTGGACACGAATCTACCATGTCATCACCAATTACAGATGGCCCACCTCATGTCCGTCGATCCAGCATGGCTGCCAAAGTGCCAATTATACATTGGTGGAGAGTGGTGTGGCATTTATTTCTATGCCTCAGCGAAGATCCCGGGTCGGAGAATCACCAGCCGTCAGATGACATCTGTCTGAAGAGTTGCACGGTAGTTCCGAATGGGCAATTAAGTATGGTCGACAAATACGTCAAACAACATTTGAAACCTTTCCCAACGGGTCACGAAAGTAATGGAAGCCACTAATTTTCTACGGTGGTTTTTTTCGCATATCAAGTAGGTTTCTGCAGTGTCTATTAGCTTATATCAATCAGGGTTGAGGGATACACTAGCTGACCAATTTGAAAGTGACTGCACAAGTCGAAACGATAGCGGAGCAGAAGACGCAGAATGGATGTGGGATGCTAGAGGAGTTGGAGCAAGCGATTGCTATTAAGAATAACTACTTCAGTCCTATTTCATACTGAGCTTTTGAGTCTGATCTATGAGGGAAAACAGCAGACCATCATAGAAGGCAAGGTAACAGAATTAGCACAGACCACAAATCAGTAAAATGCAGGCAATGCGCAGAATAGTGGCCGGCTTCTAGAAGTCAAGATTCGCGCCGGCAGCAGTGATATACGCAGCTTGTGCGCATCTGGGACGAATCAGTTAAACGGTAGGAAACATCTTATGCAATTGCACTTGCACTTTATAGTCTAGGTTTAACAAATTCCCATGCAAACTCCATTCTTCGAAGTATTTTTCATCTAGAGTTAGCAGGCATAGAATGCGGGACCATCGGGATGTTACTTGTGACCGCTACCCCTAAGCCACCGGGTCACGGGCAACGCTCGGCACAACGGTAATGTGAGATGTAATAATGAGATGTGATAACATCGAAACGCGTCATAGTAGTGCAGTTTTTTCAGGTGGGCAACACCCACTTTCTATTTGGATCAACCACGGTCCTCGTGATCGAAAGACCAAGGTTCGCTTCAATGGGAATCGCCGTCAAAATTTAGATTGCGCGTCGCAATCCATCCACACAACGCGCAGTCCAAAATGACCCTCAACATTATTTTCCATCTAGTTGTGTTCACTCCGCTGCGGATCTAGATATATTTTCTGCAGGCATGATGGATCAATTGTTTGTAAGGTGTAACAAAGATGTTTGGCAATTTGTAT